TAGGATACTGTGTGCAGGCAGGGGGTATATGAGAACTCTCTGTACTTTCTGTTCAATTGTGCTGTAAACCTAAAACTGCTCTAGAAAACAAAATCTATATAAAAACTCAAAAAAAATGTAGCTGCTTATCATTTTTCAATACTCTACCCAGGTCAAAAATAGTTGAAGGGTTGCGATCCTGTTGCCGGTCCCCGGTACGGGCGCGACACCGAGGGTTGCGATCCCGTTACCGGTCAGTAAAAAAGACAAAAAGGAAACAAACAAACAAACAAACAACAACAACAAAAAAAACAGTGTAGTACACGGGCCAGCCCATGGCTCACTTGGGAGAGTGTGGTGCTGATGACACCAAGTCTGCGGGTTCAGATCCCTATATAAGGATAGCTGGTTTGCTCACTTGGGAGAGTGTGGTGCTGACAACGCTGAGTCAAGGGTTAAGATTCCCTTACCGGTCATCTTTAAAAAAACAAAAAAACAGTGTAGTACTAACATAACAACCAATTGACATACAGATGAATGAAAACAAAATTTAGAGTCCAGAAATAAACCCACATAGCTATGGGCAATTGATTTTCGACAAGGGTGACAAGACCATTCAAGGGGGAAGTCTCTTTGATAAATGGTGCTGGAATAACTGGATATCATCATGCAAAAAAGTAGAGTTGGACCCTTACCTCATATCATATATAAAAATTAACTCAAATGAGATCAAAGACTTAAATGTAAGAAATAAAACTCTAACAAGAAAACATAGGGGTAAGCCATAATGAGCTTGGATTTGACAATGGTTTCTTAAATGTAACACCAAAAGCACAAGCAATAAAAGAAAAAATAGATTAACTGGACTTCATTAAAATTAAAAACTTTTCTACAAAAGACACTATTAAATGAGTAAAAAAGACAACTCACAGAACTGGAGAAAATATTAACAAATCACTCTATCTGATAAGGGTCTAATATCTCAAATATATAAAGAACTCATATAACTCCACAACAAAAAGACAAACAACCAATTTAAAAAATAGCAAAAAGAATGTGAACAGACATTTCTCCAAAGAACATGTACAAATGGACAACAAACACATGAAAGGATGGTCAACATCATCAGCCATTAAAGGAAATGAAATTCAAAACCACAATGAACTACCACTTCACACCCACTAAGATGGCTGTAATAATTTTTAAAAAACCCAAAACACGCACACAAAACACACAAAACAAACCAGAAAACAGCAAGTATTGATGAGTGTGTGAAGAAATTGGAACCTTCATACAGTACTGGTGAGAATGTAAAATGGTGCAGATGCTGTGGAAAAATTGTTGGTTCTTTGATAAGCATAGAATTACCATATAACCCAGCAAATTTATTCCTGGATATATCCCCCAAAGAATTTAAAACAGGGATTCAAACAAATATTTATACACAAATCTTCATAGCAGCACCATTCACAATAGCCCAAAGGTGGAAACAACCCAAATGTCCACCAACTGATGAACAAAATATAGTATATACATACTATTATTCAGCCATAATAAGGAATAAAATACTGATACATACAACAAAACAGATGAACTTTGAAAACATGTTAAGCGAAAGAAATCAGACACAAAAGGTCACATAATGATTCTACTAATATAAAATATCCAAAATAGGCAAACCCATAGAGACAGAAAGCAGATTACTGGTTTCCAGAGGCTGGGTGAAAGGGGTAATGGAGAGAGACTGTTTAATGGATTTCCTTTTGGATTGATGAAAATTTCTGGAACTATGTAATGGCGATGGTTGCAGAATATTGTGAATGCACTAAATGTCTGAATTGTATACTTTAAAATGGTTAGAATAGTAAATTTAGTGTTATATGTATTTTATCACAATAAAAAAAATTTAAAGAAAAAGTTTTAGAAGATCTTACTACAAGAAATAGAGGAAAAATGAGAATCTGGTTTTTTTTGTAGCTTGCAAAACAAGTCCTAACATGTCAACATAATACATTATTATATTCTATATCAAATAAAAATGGTTCTACAAAAGAAAGGTTTTTGTTTTATCATGCTAGACATAACTTTTAAAGATTATTAAATATAAAAGTATATGAAGTGTCCATCCAAAAGAATAAATACCCTTTTTTCTAATAGCAAGGGAAATAGAAAAATAATTGAACAAAGTGTTATATTCAAACCAAGTGTTTCCAGGTGAACAAATCTGTTCATTATTCAAACGTAAAGCAAGGTTTTTTTGGAGGGAACTAAAAGATATTAATTAATGAAGTATTAGCAAGGACACCATTTTATAAAGCACAATTATACAAATTCCTATTAATCTTGATCTTTACTTTTTAATGAACATTTTGGCAAATTTTGTGTAAATGAGAGAACTTGTTTATAACGCACCTGCCATTCACAGAATTAAAGAGTGGTCATTAAAATAAACAAAAAAATCAGCTAATTAAAAAAGATTTATGGATACTAACAAACTTCTCAAACCGTTAGGCACAGATGCCTAAATAGAATAAACTGATTTCCTGAACTGTGCACCCACACTAAGAATTTCAATAGACTCTGGAACTTCGTTCAAAAAACTTCAAGGAACATCTTACTGTGAGAGTATTTGGCCCAGAATTCCAAGTATTAACAGAAAAGGCAAATCAAGTGGCACTGAAATAAAAGTAGCTAATCTTTCATTCTCCCTGTAACTCAAATGCAGACTAGTTTCCTATTGACTTTCTAAAACTCTTAGACTTTGAGGATTTGAATGAAACAATGTTTATACTTGATTTTTCTAAAATAACATTTAAGAATAATTACACCTCTCCCCCCAACAACAACAAAAACAAAAAAGAATAAATACCTGCCTTCAGAAGAGGATTCCTGGGAATTTTACTCACCCTTTTTACCATACCCTCCCCCACACACCTATGGCATTATCACAAAACCACCACACAAATAAAAAAAGAGAAATTTAAAAAATAAAATTGACAAATGTGAATTCATTAAAAGAAATCATTAGAAAGATTTTAAGACCTGTGGTTTTATAGCTTTCTTACAAAATCCGAATTTTAAAGATCTTCTCCAGAAACTTTTTTTAAATAAAAGTTTTATTGGAGAAAAATAGAACCACCACGTACACAGGGAAAAGAGCACAAAAATTCAACTGATACAGAACAACTGAAAGTCACAGTTATCCATTGTAGTTTGCAATTACTTCTCAATTTCATAAACAGCTCCCCTCAACTTGTTTTTTAATAGTCTTGCTAATTTTTAAGCTGAAACAGCATCAAGTTTTTAAAAAATTAAGAGCCTCAGGGAAGGGACCTGCTTTCAAGATAATAAAGGTGACCTCAAAAGTCTCCTAATAGGGCCAACTCTACCCAAAAATTGCTTAAGAGTAACTATTGAGTCTTGTGCAATAGTCTACATACCTCAGAGACCATCAGGGATGAGTTAGAACACTGATATAGATGGTCCAGTATAGAGAAAGGGAAAACAAAAAGCTTCATTTCCTTGTCAGATGAACTCGTGTAAGGAAAAGAGGGATAAGCTTAGAAAATACAGGCAACGGCTGCACAAAAAGAATTAAAAAGTAATTCTAAATACCACATATAGTTAGACAACAGTGTGCAAGTTGATGCAATTAGAGAGAAACAGGCAACTTTTTAAAACAGCTGGCCACAGGTCTTTGAGAACTCAAGAAAACAATCAATAGTAGACACAAGAGCCAAAGGTCTGCTCAGTTGAAGGTTAGGACCTAAGTATTCCGAATGGCTCCAAATAGGCATATGCTGTTGCAAAAAGTATTAAAGTAGTTCTGATTTTTAAAAAACAAAATTTTCTGTTTCTCTTCCATGATCAATTCTCTTCAAAGCTTCAAGGAAAAACAAATAAGAAATCAAAACAAAAACAAAAAAATCACTGATGTTAAAGAGAAATTCATGAACAGTACTTTTGCCATTTTCTATGTATGAACAATCCTGGGACAGTGCCTTGAAAAGTAGGTATCCAGTGGCTATGAGAACTTAAAGCAATTTTGATTAGGAAGATGATCAGCATGAAACAGAATCTCAAATTCCCAAATAGGGGGATATATGGTGAAAACGAGGAAGGATCTTTATATCTAAGGTTTTAGGAAGTTAGAATGAGGATGATAGGAAAGGCTTATTTATCAACGAGTTGGGATGCTTCCAAAAACACTTTGGTAGAGAAAATAGGAATACTAAATCCTAGGACTGTAACAACCTACAATTGGTCCAAGTTAAAGACAAAAGTGTCCAAACAACATTTAAAGTCTAAAGTACGTTGAATACTAGTTGACGAATTTTTGCTCCTGTAGTAATTTACAAAACACATTTTGGTCTCTTCTGCAATTTTCATATTGTATTCGTTTTTAGTACGAAGAAAGAGTTGGATTTTTCTCTCCTATGATGTTCCTCTAGTACAACTGATCAGCAATTTTCTATTTTAGCTATTTTTATAAGTACCTGTTAATCAGCACAGTAAGCTTGGGACTAAGCCATATACACACACATCCCATATTCATAAATGGAAAATTTTAGGATGTGAATATATAAGATATTACATAAGCAACTGCCCCCCTACTTGAAAACTTATTTCCAAATAAGTTTTTTTTTTAAAACATCCCTATCCCTTTCAGTGTAACAGAATATTACCTAGTAAAATAGCAATGGCTATGACAACTTATTTTTCTTTTCATGGGAAATCACAAACAGGGGAACAACCAAGTCAAGGGTGGTTTTTCTATTTGATAAATACATCCAGAACTCTGTACAGTAAATAAAGTTTGCATGCAGTTTAAGGATCTTTAAATGACATTTTAAGCAAATAAACCTTTTGCTTCATAATTAATGGTGTATAAGAACCCCTGCCCCCTTTTTAATAGCCACAGGGACCTCTTCTCCAGGTCCAAAGAGGAATCACGAAGACCAAGTACTTTCTTAAGAGTTTTCTGCACATCATACTAAATAACATGCAAAGAGTTCAACAACATTCTCCTTAAAGGTAAGTATTACTCTTTAAAATGGGCATGTTAACCACTGAGAAAAAGTCCACTCAACTATTGCCATTACACTGCTTCATTTGGTCATTGGTAGTATAAAAGAAGTCAAATAATACAGGATCAAAAGGTTAGTTTATCCACTGGCTACTGCATATGACAACAAATGCTCCAAGGCCAACATTCTATGCAATATAGTTGTACTGGTTTGGATTTTCTTTATCTCTTTCCATGTAGTCCCGGTCAATTAAGGATTCTATTCTCTTCTTAAGATCAGCAGGCTGTAAAAGAAGGCAAATTTTCAATGCAGAGCTCATAATCATTGGCTCAAGCCCACTTACTAATACTCCATTAAAAAAAAAGAACAGTTTTGGCTCACTAACTTAATGTATTTAATTAAAGCTCCTTAATTTTTTAAATTTTTATTTATTTAAATTTCTCTATTTTTTTTAGAGAAAAGTACAATACAAATAAATCAGGTTAAAAAATGTTTTTATACTATATACTATACATATATTATATTATCACACCCTTGCCATATTGGTATACAATACTTTCTATTATTGCCCTGTTTTAAAGAGGTCTTCCAAGAACCAGCTACCCTCTAAACTTATCATCACTTCACATGAGGAACACATTATAGTTTAGGAAAACAGAATACTCTTTAGTTTTGTCAATTTAATTTGAGGAGATAAGCACACCTTTACTTTGGGCAAAAGCTAGTTCTCTAAGTTAGGTTTCATTTTTAAAAATTAAATTTAAAAATGTATTGAGGAAATCACTATTTAAAAGAATACTACAGCCTCATAAATAAAGTTACCGTCTCATAATTCAGATCTTTGTTATTTCAGGTTTAATGTAAGATTTAACTGTTATCTACTATAAGTGATTTGGATTTCTGAATCTTACTTGTGGTTTAGAAATCAAGAAAGTTTGTACCTTGTCTTCATGATTGCATTCTTAGCTCTTGGATGACAAAATTTCACAATATGTATTGTCTATCTAGCCTTTAAAAAGAATGTAATCTTGCTTGCTAATAGAGAGTTTTTCAGAATATGTAAAATGACTACTGATCAAGATGGCAAAAAAAGGAAAGTAGTCTGATGGGGCTTTGAGCTTCCTCCCAGATTCTGCCCTTTGTGTTTCTTCCGTTGGCTGATGTTTAATGTATCCTTTCTCTGTAATAAGTATAACCATTCATATAATAAGCTTCAGTGAGTTCTGTGAGTCTTTCTAATTGTTGGGGGCCTGAAGCTCCACACCCCTTCTTGTGAGACCGCTTCTCCTTGACAATCTGCTCAGATGGCCGTGCTTTACATGATAACTGCCTCGAAATCTTTATGCCAGAAACTGATTGCTCCTGGCTATGCAAGTTAATTTGCAAGTGACCTTTTATCCTTCTCTAGAAACTGTTTAACTATAAACATTCTGGGTGGCAACCTTTACTTTGAATGTCCTGTCTTTGTCTCTCCTCAAGATATTATCATATCTTTACATTCCAGACCCTTTGCAGCATGCCTGCTTTTTCCTATATAAGATGTAACCTAAGAACCAATAAACGAGACTTGATCAGAATACTGTCTTGTCTCAATTTCTCGTGTCTCTTGTCCCATCCAATTCCCACTCCCCCCTCCAGGGTCTGCGTTGAATATCCCACGGGTCGGGACAGGGGTAGCCAAAATTTTATCTAGTAATCCCAAAATTTGAAAATCAAATGACTTTGTCTTAATTACAGTGAAAGACCTAGAATATTAGCACAGTATCTATGAGAGTGATCCTCTAACTTCCCTAGCATCTCTCTGGGTAGAGATGAAATGCATGTAGGCAAAGCATGAGGGTGAGAGTGTGGTAATGAGGAGGCAGTATTAGGTTTGGAGAAGAGAAAAAGCCTACCTTATTAGAATAGCTACTGAGTGCTTATTTTTTATTTATTTATTTTTTTTAGAGAGAACTTTGATAAACCCACATTTATTGTTTTTTTTTTTTGAATTTTTATTTTGTCAATATACAATGTAGTCCGAAACCTCCCTCCCTCCTCCCTCTCCCCTGTGAGTGCTTATTATATGCCAGATCCATTACTAAGTTTTTGACATTCATGATCTCTTTTAAGCCTCACAATAATCCTACAAGGTAAGTACTATTATTATCTCCATTTTACAAAAGAGGAAAACAAGCTGAACAAGGTGAAGTGATTTACCAAAGTCCACAGCCTGTAAGAACCCTAATAGCCAGGAGTCTACCCAAACTATACCAAGTGTTTATCATGACAAGGGTTTGAGAACCTTCTAAAACTTGGAAAATAGTCCAGTACAACATCACACTGTCTAAGTATTATCTTTATTATTGGGCATCTACAGCGGAACATGTCTATTTGATGACTGATTTCAGTTTACCAGAATTTCAGAATTCAATTTACAATTTCAGTTTGATAGTGTCTATTAAAAACTATATACAGATTAATGATGACTAATTATCTGTATACAGTTTTTTTGTTTTTTTTTTTTTAAAGA